GCAAATTACGGACCAGGCAATAAGTCCAGCAGCTATCTCAATCAATCGTCAGCTATGGAAAGATCGGGTTCCAAAGGCCGGATCCCTTGTGAATCAAGTCACGAAAAGTTCAAGAATCGGCAACAGGCCATGGGCCTATTTCTTCAGCGCCGACACTTCTATTCTATTCTATTCTATTCTAAAAAGTCATCAATACCAATTAATAACCTCCCTCAAAAAAAGCTCCATGACAGAGAAGCAGCAGCCGCTGTAGAGTTTCGTGAAAGAGACATAGGGTGGCGTGATATTCTTATAACCTGAAGCTGAGATCAAGATTGTCTGGTTTTTTAAAGCCTCGTGAGAAGAAATTATAATTTTTTAATTGAGAATATCGTTGAACAAGACAGGATTACGACGAAAAGAAATTAAATGTGCATTCCATACAAATGAATTGGATGATTGCGATTGACGAGCCGTTCAATCGATACTCAGTGAACGTAATAACAGTGTAGCAATTCCTAGAAAATTTCCGTCATTTATTGCATTTCCAAGTGAATTTTTTGTGCCAATCATTTCAATTTCACGTTCAATCATTTCAAGTTCATGACCCCATCAGCCAATCACGAACGGCTTTTCTAGCTGAACCCGCCAATCACAGACGAGAAATCTAAGCTACGTGTACATAGGAGGTACGTATACTTAGGACACTACGTGCACTTAGGACGCTATGTGTACTTAGGACGCTATGTGTACTTAGGACGCTACGTGTACTTAGGACGCTACGTGTACTTAGGACGCTACTAGTACTTAGGACGCTACGTGTACTTAGGACGCTACGTGTACTTTGAACGCTACGTGTACTTAGGACGCTACGTGTACTTAGGACGCAATGTGTACTTAGGATGCTACGTGTACTTAGGACGCTACGTTTATTATGACGCTACGTGTACTTAGAACGCAACGTGTACTTAGGACGCTACGTGTACTTAGGACGCTACGTGTACTTAGGACGCTGCGTGAACTTAGGACGCTGCGTGAACTTAGGACGCTACGTTTCTTAGGACGCTACGTTCATTAGGACGCTACGTGTACTTAGGACGCTACGTTTCTTAGGACGCTACGTTCATTAGGACGCTACGTGTACTTAGGACGCTAAGAGTACTAAAGCGAGTTTTGCTGGTTCGGTCTCAGATATTTACAATAGATAGATACCTACAGAAGGAACGGTAGACTTGATACAATACGGTGTGCCATGGGATGGATGATACTTACGGTAACTTGCGAAGAAATAATGGAATTTAGTTTTCTTCACATTAGCGGCTGACGGAGGAAATTTTAATGAAACTGAGAATTAACGAAAGATTTACTCAGAAATCACAGGCAAGAGCGACTACTATAATACAGCGGACAGCGATTGTACATGAGAAGTGGTGCACAGTGATACATTTTCAAAACAAAATTAATTGATTCAATTATGATTCCAACCGTAGCTAGCCTCATGGAAAATCCTTGAAGGAATAATTTTTTCATGACCTGAATGAGACCATAAGACTTCCATTCAATGTCTGCACCAAAGCACACAATGGTCAGTATGTAAAAGAATAATGATCTATCAAAACCCCTCTATAGATTTCATACATTGTGACCTGTCAAATACTTAAACTTGAGTGCTAAGTGTGTAAAAAAAATTTCGACTAGGTAATCAGAATTAGATAATTTTTCAGAATTGTGAAACCAAGCGCCAAGGAATCATTGCAGCAAAGCGCTAAGGAATCTTAGTTGTGTAAGCCACGCTATGAACCAAACGGAAACAACTATCAAGCCCTTATCAAAAACACGCACACAACACCGCACGACATCAACTCTTAAGACTAGATGAGATTCTAGGCGAATATAAAACAAACGTAAAAACTTCGCGACAATATTTTTGAGATATCAAATGTTGAGCACATTTTAATCTGGCTAAGAATCTTCATGTAAATAAGCACCCATCGAGACACGACTTCATCGTCATTCTGTCACTGAGGGACCAGAAATAACATCAAGACCTCAGTACTCAGATACCAGATTAATTTGCTCATCAGGTAGGAATACCATTATAAATAAGATGTAGTTAACGACACAAACACTGATAGAGCAGATTACATAATTTGAGAGTAACAAAAAATGAAAGTGAAGGAAGAATCTTTAGAACGTAGACTAAACGAACTTAGTGACCGCCACGACGCGTGAAGCATTTTGAGGCACACTGACATTTTTCCATTGTTTGTTCAAAAGTCACCACCAGAGCTGCCACATGAAACAGGGAAGATGAAAGTAAAAAAATACTCTGCAGTTTGGACATGCAGCGAAGGAAGTTTCTGCGATCTCCGCTGTTACGTGCTCGAATGGATAACCGATGAAGCGGTATGAAGAGAAGCATTAAGAACTGAAGGGACTATTATTGCTACTCACTAAACAACACAGAAGATACGAGACAAGCCAAACAAAACACTCACACAAATAAGTCGGGATCACAGCGCCAAGAAGATACAAGTGGCTGAGGTAGCCAGGGAAATCTGTGCTTCAGTAGAGACGATACCTCTAGTTACGCCATTAGTATTACTGATACTGATGTTTTCAATTATCTCCTGTTTGGAGTGTGGGCTGTGGTGAAATTTTAAACCATGACAATTATTCCACTAAGTCGTACGCTTGTGCCACCACTTGGGACAACAACAACCAACATTCATGATCAGGCGCATTAGGAGGGATTTTGGCGAGGTTTTCCTTTATACATACGAGGGAAATGTAGAGGAATGGTGGTGTAAAAATAAGACCAGCGAACGTGTTATGGTTAAAGACGCTCACCACTGCGACGTCTGTCAATGTTATATGATGCTTGCTTGGCTTGATATTCTAAACCAATTAGTAATGCTATTTTTGATCAGATAAGAGCCAGGGAAATCTTCCAGGTTTTCTTTTTCTCTATAGAATTAAAACCATAATTATCAAAGTTCTAATTTATACATCTTGAGAGAATTGATTTAAACATCAAGTATTCATTGATTTCAATTGATTGAATCATTGATTTCATCAATTGATCTATACATCAAGTATTGAGAGAGAATCGCGTTAGGTTGGAGCAATCAATTAATTGGCCTTATATATAAAATAAAGTCGACTTTTCCAGCTCCACAACGCGTGCTCAAGCTATTTTTCTTCAATTACGCAAATAAAATACTTAAAAATTAAATGAGATGCATCCAGGAATGTTTGGCACAAGTCATGAGAAATTAATACGAATACTAATATTAAGTTTGGCACGAATTTCGAGAAAAAATTCTATACCAAACCTTTCGTATTCGGCACAAATGTAAACAACTCCCTTGTAAGTAACTTGTCATGATCAGGAGGTCCCAGACAAATAATTTCAATTACTTGCAAAAACACCTACACACAGTCATCAGAGAGCTGAAAAGAGAGCAAGGCAGCAGCGTCATGCAGAAGACTTGTCATCATTAAAGGAAGAAATGGGAACCAATGAGGCAATGTGATGTTAATTGCAAGCATTGCATACTGCCTCATGTACTCAGTTGTTGACACTAACAAATGAACAACCATTATATGTCCACTACAGTCATCAGATTAAAACTTCAGCAAAATTGGTATTCTGTTATCGAAATTCCGTTACCAAGAATGATACGAGTTTCTTTTTAAATCACAATTTTAAAATCAAAAACAAACTTCCAAACCCGTCAGTAACTAATAAAATCTGAATTTTGAGATTTTCTATTGTGACTCAAAGACTTCGTTATGTCGATGTAAAAATTTTTTTTTTGTGGCTCCACACGCTAACCACAAAGCCGCTACGCGTTCAGAGCAGCCTTGAAACAGCAACTTTTTTAAAGCAATTCGAAGACTGTCACTGATTTCTAGCAGCCTAAAGACTGCCACGGGTTAAGAACAATCCTGAAGACTGAGTCTAAAGACAGAATAATAAGACGGTCGACATTTAGTCTTTCTTCTTTGGCTTCTTTGGGTTGCGTGAGCGGCTCTTGGCCTTACAGAGCGGGCAGATGGGGGCGTTGCGGTGGATTTGCTGGTGGCAGCTCAGGCATGACTTCATGGGGGGCGGCTGTTGTCTGTAAACAAAAATAATTTAGTGATGCTACTGCCGACAATTTAGTGATGGCTAGTGCCGACAACATAGTGATGGCTACCGCGGACAATTTAGTAATGACTACTGGCAACAAATCAGTGATAGTAACTTCACATCAATTGCCGGGGCTTATCTTCTTGTAGAACATGACACAAAATTTGAATACGTAGGTATTATTTCTTGAGGAATAACAACAACGGAAGTAGTTAGATGTTTACTTAAGTTGAGACGAGGATAATGACTGTATAGGAAAATATTTTCAGAATTTTCATCAATTCACGCTAGGAAATTTGAATTTCATATTGCTTCATTGAAATAAGAATTAATATTTGAGCATTTGTATCCCTAAATAACACTCAGTAATTTTTTACAGATATGTAAATAGTATATGTAAAATTATGTCAATAAATAGAGAGTAAATATAAAATATATTAAATAGAAAAATTTACTATTTTATTCTAACTGAAAATCTCTAACCTGAAAGAGGGAGCAGGAGGCCCTGGCGGGGGAGGGAGAGGTCTCTGTTCCACCTTCTGTGGTCCCCTCATGGGTGCCAGTCCCCCTTGGTGATGCGAGAGGAAGGGGGAGGAGCTGCCAAGTCCCCCCAGCGTGGGGAGCCCTGCCAGAGAGGAGGACAGTCCCCCGAGGGCGCCCGAGTGCCCCCCACCAATTGACAGGCCCGACCCTTGCATGTCGTCAGAGTCGTGCGACCATTCCATGCCGGATTTCTCAAAGAAACTGCACAAGAACAAACAAATTTAACCTCAACGCCCAAACAAAGAATAACATAAATTTCATGAAAGAAATTAAATTCCATGGGAAAAAGTTGGATTTCATGCACTAATGATTAATTCAACATGCAATAAATCTACATGCAAGAGTTGCACATTACATGAAAATTTCATAACTAGATGATATATTGGTTTTATTAATATCAATAGAGAAAGAACAGCTATCTTCCCATTGCATAGATTTTTTTCGAGTTTTTTGGAAGAAAATTATGCTCACTTGGGAGGCACAGGATCATCGTCAGCAGAGAGAGCAGTTGGCTGAACAGCGCGAGGAAGATGCATGGCAACCAGACGCACTGCCTCATTCTTCATGGGCTGAAATTAAAGAGAAAAATCTGTAATAATTTTCTCACCTAAAATAAGCACAAGCAATGCTTCCAGGCAAAATCAAGAAAATGGGAAATATTTGCAGCGTTTCATGGCATAAAATAACCCACATTAAGTAATTTTGCAATAGAAATGAATAATTCTTACCCTGAAAATACTATCTGATCAGTTAGGTAGGTATACCTACAGAATCAAAGCTCCTATTATGTGAATGGGCATCACAAAAATATGAAACACAAACAAATTTATAAATTGGCCTACAAATAGTGGCATTGAAATATGTTACCTACCTAATATTAATGTAGCATAAATTGACCTAGAATTACCTATAAAAGGGTGCTCAATTTATTATTTTTTATGCAGATCAATAACTTGATCTTAATTCCACAGACAGCATGCAAGTCTCATCATTAGAAATTAAATTTTTTTACCGATTCAAGCTTTAACTTGCAAATCAAACTATTTCCTTTAGGTCTTTCCACAGAGGCAAAATCCCAAAGCTTTTAAACAATTTGAACCAAAACAACTGTAAAAACACAAATAAACATTTATTTAAACTGTTCATAAAACTGTCAAAGCTATATTTGATACGGTATTTTCTAAACATGATCATTTTAGAAAACTTTTCACATACGTAAATAATGATTGTAACTTACAATTAATATACATAACTCTCACCTGGTATTCCTCATAGAGACGCCTTGCATTTTCCAAGGCTTTGCATCTGATTTCCTCCCCACTTTTGATGATGTTTTCCATCTAAAAAATGGAAATTAAGCATGGATGCTAAAGTATCAATGTATTTATTAAAAAAATTCATAAGATAAATTTTTCAATCTACACAAAGAAAGACAGTTTTCAATGAACTTCTGGCACATACATGGTCTAATGATCTTATTTCAATTGATTAACAATAATTGATGCCAACCAAGAGTGCACTGCACACATTTTTTCCATAACTTTCAAGGAACTAGATGAAGTTCTAATTATGTGGTACCGGTATATTACATATATACACACATCAAACTAACTTGTCCAAAATTGTAAGCTGGTTTTTTAATATGGATATGGAACAAAATTTGTACCATCACATTTTTTCAGCTTATGTATGAAAATTGAAAATCAATAATTGTAAAGCTCACCGCATTGATGTCAGCATGAATCTGACGTAACTCTTCAACATGAGCCATTTTCTCCTGCAGCAGTTGTTCCATCTCAGCTTTATAGTCAGCAAGACTGGCCTCCTCCACCTGCACTGCTTCTACCTCAGCAGCCAAACGGCAGCGTAAACGCTCCACACCAAGCATTTTCTGCCTGTTCAGGAAGACAATAATTAAAGAAAATAATCAAAACAAAGTATGGAATATACCAGTCTAAATTGCACAAAATTCAACTTAAAGCTTACATTTCAATGCTAATGAGTCTCAAAGACAAGTTTACAGGACTGTATATAACTGCTTAAGTTAAGAAATTGTTTTGAAGCATCTCATTCACACAATAAATGAGCAATTTCATAAGTGTCTGCAAATTTCAAACAATTATTTTATCACCAAAATTATAAGAAATACATAAAGCAAAATTTGCCAAAACATACTACAGTTTATCACATTTTAATCTGTCTTGGGTATCATTGGGCACGCCACATGCACACTGTCAGACTGAAAAGATAGGTTGTTCAGGGTGAGATTTGGCTTATTAATTATATATTTGATTAGTATTCTGTACCTCAACCTAAAATCATCACCTACAAGGCCCAAACACCTCTAAGAGCTCAAGCAGCTTAAGTGAGTGCTTAATGCTTAGTAACCCAACATTTGGTACTGCTCTGTGGCATTTTGGTGCATGTGACATTAATGTGCTCAATCTCAATTCCTAAGGTTATCACTAGACAATAGTTTTGAAACTGTCAATTTCTATAATGATACATATACCTATAGTTCAAAAACGGCAAAAATTGCATCATCAACCAAAATTTTGATGCACTTAAGATTTTTGTCTACAAATAATGTTTCATTATGCAGTCTTTTGCTCTTTGATTAATTTTATTCCACTCAGAAATGTCAGAATTTGAATAAAATATTTTTATAATATGAAGGAAATCCAATGAACAAGACATGGCAACATCTTCATGATTTTAAAGGACATGGAAATGTCAATTAAATAGTTATTAAAATGTCAAAGTTGTCAATCAAATATCAGCCACATCAAGCCAGCAACATGCCAACATTAAACTACTACTATATATCATATCAAATCCTTAAAGCTTGTAGTCTGAACGCAGCAAAGTCTGAGAGCAAGGTTTTCACGACCATTGTGTAAAATCCTTGATCTACGTAAAGCTCAGCCAGTCGCTACCCTTGAGCTTGTACTCTTTGTAATATGATATCCTAGCCAGCCCCTTTCTTGCGCCAACTGGTTGCTTTCAGGTGGCAGAGTACCGGTAATGGCCAACGGTTGGCTAAAACTAGTTGGATTAGGCCAACCACTGGTCCCACACTCAGGATGATGTATGTTTTCGGTGAATTTTCCCGCGCATTTTCACTTTTTTTTCATTACAGTTGGCGCAATGTAATGAAAATTGATTCTCTTCGCGCACGTGTTCGCGCAATCCCGGCCATCAATTCTACGTCGCGCTGCCGCGCACAAGCAGTTTGTGGAGGAACAGACGTAATACTCAGTACAGTATGCCTTTAATTATCTTTCAATAATATATGATTTTTCTTGATACGGAAATTTGGTGAATGAGAAATCTAGAACTTTATTTTAGAAGAAATTTTCTCCAAAGTCATATGGCAACACTGAACACCATCTGTTTACATTTTGTATGTATAATAGCCGCAGTTTACGATTACCGTACGTTCCGTATCCGACAAGTGGAAGTCAGAAGTAACCCGGACATGTCTTATATTTTATTATTGTCAGTTCGACTCACGTAGTCGATATAAACTTTGATCTTTGATGACCAACGAAATATAAACTTTTAACTGTGCTGACTCTTAGAACCTGAGTTGACGCGTTAGCAATCTAGTTAACTCATATCCAACCACAACAATGCGGATACATACACGTTTGTGTGTACGGTCAGTGCGATTGCATAATTTGCGTTGCCGCGCGTCCATATTTGAACTATTTTAGCTTTCTAAAGTACGGTGCACGGCGCATTTTTTTACCAGCATAGTACGGCGCACCGCGCAGGTCATTAAAATGACAAAATAAATTCCCGCACACCTGGCACATCTTCCTGACCATGGCACTGGTCATGTATTATTCTTTGCCCCTCATCGAGTTTGCCGTCACCATGCCACCCCTTGTGAACTGACAGTTGAGTAATTTATGACGTCTCTTTCCCCTCATACCTTCCAGTGCTCCACAACGCCTCTATTTGAGCAGATAGTATGTGGGATTTTCCCTTCGCATATCAGCAGGCTTGATCATAACTATTTTTTGAGAAATAATATTTACAACAAGGAGGCTGATCAAGGAATGCCAAATGTACCATTCAATGGAGAATAAAAATTACAACCTGTTTACACATAGTGGCAAAGCAGAGAGTTTTTTAGACTCTCCCTCAAGTTCATTTTAGAGTCCTATAAGTAGACCAGTAAAGTATCCTGGATACCACTCTTACCAGCATTATCATACTCAAGAAATTGGCTTAAATCTTGAGTAAATGAGGAAATTAGGAATGAACTGATTCTAAAAAAGCTCTGGTTTGCCACTATGTGTTTACATCTCAAAAAAAGTATAAAAGACACAGACTTGATGAAAAATAATATTCAAAGTTTCTTGAAATTTCCTCTCTTTAAAACTCTTTTAATACCATGTCTACATATTTATTTTTCCTGTCCACCATTTATAAATAAATAGCTGGGTAAGCATGAAAAAATCTATATCGCCATCTCATTTACGAGTGGAGTAAAGTCTATTCTAATTTGTGAAGAAATGCATAGGGAAGAGCCAAACCTGTTCAAAGCCTCTCGGTTCTCAATCAGGGCCTTAATTAATACTCAGTTAAATAGTTTTATTACTTAATGTACAAGAACACACCAAAACCTACTAAATAGTATATTTTGAATGACAATGCTGGCATCTATGATACTTTACCTACTGCCTACTGGTCTACTTATAATCCAAAGTACTATCCTAACTCAAAAATGAACTTGAGGGAGAGTCGAAAAAAGTCTATAGCTAGGCTAACTAATAACTATAAGTATATAACCAACAAGGGTTCTATTAGTATTACAAACAATTGTTTGTGCACTGCAGTCTGCACATGGCACATAATTTCTCAATGTTATTTACTACACAGCATGTATTGATAAAATGACAATAAAAATTTTTCTGTCAATTGAAGTGCATGAAATGGACAATCAAATCTTGATTTTTATTGAGAAATAAGCTTATTTTAGCTTAAAATAGGAGTGTCTTTCTGCAATATTGGCGCCTAATTTTAGTACTTACCTTATTTCTTTAATATACTCTAGCTTTACTAGAGCAGTGCGATTATCTTCGTCCAACGTCGTAGCCATAGTTTTTCGTTATTCAACGATGATTTGAGGTAAAAACAACGCACGGTTCTCAACCTAACTTTGTTAGTAAACATGAAACTATAGCTCCAAAGCTGTTAGATCGCTAATGAAGTTGGTGAGGTGGTCAAAATGATCAGTTCTGAAATATTTTTAGTTGCTAATATAACAATAGACCTAAAAGGTAAATTAACAAAATACTTACGCCTTTAATTATTCATCAGACTCAAAACTAATTATTTGCTTAAATTGCATGGAATAAAGCTGAAAATTTCCGAATATAATCAGTCATCGCCGTAACTTCATAGAAACTTATAAAACCTCTTATTGGAATAACTTTAGTTCTCAGCGATTACGTTTAATATATTTATACATATGCGGCCAATAACTAACTAATAACGTGAAGACAGTGTATTTTTCTGATGCAAAATTGGCAGTTCAGTAGAAACATCTTTTTGGTGAATGGCTAATAAACAATTAAACACTTGTTGTGCCATGAATGAAACACAACTTTATCGCTTCAACACGTACATTAAACTTTTTATCAGCGCACAAGATAACTAAAAATTCATATAACTTAGCGTGTTTGCCAGTAAATCTAAACACGTAATACAAATCGTGTTCAACATCTGAACACCTATTTGTCCTAATTTGGGGATGAAAAGTTTACGCACATTCGCCAAACTGGTAAATTTTATTGCGATGAACTTTTACTCTACCAGTCTGATGTAAGTTGTGTTGAATTTGAGTCACGTCAAAGGAAGATATAATTAGTTAATTGCCAGCACTTCGTCCTCAGTAAAGGCTTCCTGCTAAGTTAGTAGCTGCGATTAAGATATTATACTTTGTCGCTAGAGACTCCTGACGGTCGATTAGTGAGGTAGCTGTCAACACGTTGCTTGTGGCCCATCCGTTTCAAGCATGGCGAGATGAAGACCGCTTTACGACCGTTTTTTCCCTTCCTTCAACTTCAGTTACACTGAGGGTCGCAAAGAAGTGCCCAGGAAAACACAGGCAAATAATCTTCGAGTTGACTTTAGGGTTGATGTTCGAGTAAAAACAAATATCGCAAATGAAGAAACATCTAGCAGAGCAAGCGTTGCCGTTTGAAGCCATAGGTGATGATAGGAGCGAATGAGTTCGGTAGTGGCTATCACGTCGGCGGCTTGGTTGTTCTCAGCGTTGAAGCTTCCCCACTTGATGACTTCAATAAAAACCTTTGCAGGTGTGGGGAAAGTGGATGGCATCATAAGCGAATGGAAATCTCATAATGATATTTTCAAACTGACATCACATTAAACATAAAGGCCAAAGTAAATGCTGCATACTTTGAAGAAGTTGAAACTTTTATAAAAGAAGTCCCACCATATAAATTTAAATCATATGTACATTTAGCGTCGAATTACCCAAGAATAAATATTGGCTCCTTCAAGTGGCCACAGTTTTTATATACAAGTTGAAAATGGTTTATATAGTTAAGTTAAAATAAAGCACACATGCCAGAATATTATCGAAAACGAAGATACGACAGCAGTTACGACCAACAGCAGTTTTCGTCGCGACGCAAGCGTCAACGCGGTGGCTCACACGTACAGATTTATGAAGAGCCGCTCTGAACTTTATCGTACGGAGTAATTAGAAGCGACAGGCTTGCAGACGGTAAGGGGGGAAGACAGAAGGAAGGAAAAGGGGAGAGGGACGAGGGAAAGTTTAAGGGAGCAAATTGTCCCGTGTGAAAAAAGGGTAAATGGGTTTGGTGACATTGTCGTGAGCGTGAACGACGCTGGGTCTGAGACAAGAACATGTTTTGCACGAATACGTTAAGAGGCAAAGAAAACTTCAACAGATTGAAGTCAACATTGAACAGGAGAACCATTTATTAAATAAAATTACGAAGCAATTATTACTTGCATTTGGAATATTATGTTTGTATATCACTTAAATACATTATGTGGCGGATATTTTTCTGAATGACTTTTTACGAGGTATGACTTTCACATATTGCTCAGCTTGCCGTTAACGTATGCTGGCTGGCAAATTTCTTCGGGATGTTTCGCAATGCTCAATCCCACTACACTCTGCATCGTAGGCCTCCTCAGTATTAAAATTTATTGTAAGTCAGAAACATTAACGTTTATGAACAATTATATAAGCAGAGAAGCTGAACATCTAGTAGCAAAACATGAAGCATCTTCAAATAATCCACCAGAAAACATACTGCGTGGCTAGGTACGTTACGTAGTGCAGTATATACTGGTATGCATCATAGATGTTGCGTCTCAAGGTGCCCAGACACGGTGCAGTATCAGCAGGTACAGGCCGGCAAGGGCCAGGGTATCAAGGAAGTATGTGGCCGGCGTCGGTACACAGATGTTGCGTTGTGCAACGCGCGATAGCGGCGTCTAGCGTAGGCGATAACGCGCCCCAAGATGCGTATACGGTGGAGGAAATGTACAATCTTCATCTCAGACGCTATTTCTTTCACCACTCTCAACATAACTTGAAATTTCCGAGCGAAGACATTTCAGGGGAATTTATAAGGAATTTATGATAGATATTGGTAACATCAGTTTTTCCCGCTAGGGAATAATTGGTTTTAGCTGGCGTTGAAGGTTAATCAAGAATTATTGATTTACACACACTGCGTGATCCATTTGCAGTGAATTTATTATCTATATAATTCACGAGTCTCAATTCATCTGATCATAACTCAGATTTTAAAAATAAATAGACTTTTCGACTCCTACATAATATATTTAATACAGAGCCTTAACAGCTCCTTCCATCTATCACAAATCACACACAGGTTTTTATTTTTGTTTTCACCATGTCTGGGAATTCGCTCTCACCACCAGAGTCATGTAGCGAGCACCCTCAGGGGCATGCTTTGGCGCGGCGCTTCTCCCGCTAGTTGCCATTACGTGTGGCATGGCTGGTATGTCAACGAAAATGTTACGTGCTCTCCTGCCCGGATACCTTATTGCAAATTATACCAGGCCTTCTGTCGGTCATCCAAAGAACATACATACGCCGTTAGTGCGTTCCAAGAAGTAAAGTAGATTTACGCGACGACTTTTCGACCAATCATCGTTGACCAGCAAAACCAATTATCACTCCGTGTTTTGAATTATTCAAGGGGTCAGAAGCATCCTTCGAAAGCATCTTTTATTTTAAAACGAATCTTACTGTTGGATTTTCAGAGGCTGGAAGATAGTGAAAATAGTATTTATGAAAATACTAAGCATAAAATTCCGTAATGATGTTCACAGCAAATTTTTTTAAATTTGCACTACATCATGTTAAAATAATGTTTGTTCAGCTCAGAACCATGTCAAATTATTGTCGGTTTGATCCTCATCCTGTTGAAATGGTATTGGTTCAAGTCGTGAGCAATGAACAGGATGATCTCGTCAGCGAGTTAACCTCGCCCTTCCTCAGGCGCCATAAATTCCAGCGTAAAAATCGAAAGCCTCAATTGCGTTAACTAAGGCAAAGTTGTGAGCCGATTTATTGTGTTTAAAAAAACCTGGCTAATTGTCATCATTGGAAAAATTAACGCTTCCAACATTTTCAGCGTTTAGCTCAGCCGATCGCGGCATGACTAGCCTCGGAGTTATTACATCGTAACAACGAAAGCTTTAGGAACCTTGTTGCATGTCCCATATGCCATTAATAATATTAGGTGACATTTCACTGTAAATATCAACGTAGATTATATATATAGATTTCTTAATAATAATTTTTTGGAACTTCGGGAATGAAACTGTGGAATAAAATCATGAAATGAACTGAATCATGACTGAAAATTTATCCCTGGACTAAAAATGTAAATAAAATTTGCATGAATTTGGATGTGAAAATATTTATATATGAAAATCACTGAACGTTATTTTAATTAAGGCATGAATTGTTTTTATTCCAAATGAAAAACTATCGTCATGTGCTTGCGTAGTTCATATACATGATCACTTATCCTACCATTGATGGAACAGTAGATGACTGTAGTGCGACCATTGAAGAACCATTGAAAAAATACACCCTATTTATTATTAAGTAATTGACGAAAAATGTTACGGAATTGTTGTATGATAATAATGCAATATCAGATAGATGATAGAATGATTTTTCATTCATTCATTCATTCAAACAAAGATCCCTTCAGTTGAATATTAGTGATTCATCTGTGGCAGGTTATGACCTGTAGCTGTACAGGTCACCTGCTTGGGACAGGGGTAGGACAAGGATCAGAAGACCTGTAATTACTGCAGACCTGTCGACAATTTCGTGTCTGTTAAAGGACGTTTCCGGTTAAGGTTAGCGAGGCTTCTTCCGTTCAAGTAACATGCGCGTAGGGGGGCAAATATTCATGAACAAACATAAACATCTAATATATTTCTAATGGTCATAGATTATTTATGATCATAACCTGCCGATTATGAACATGAAAGGTGAGCTCCAATACCATACGAAGATGTTAGAATGTAACATGTGACCTATAAACGTCGTGACACACTCGGAAGTTGTGATAGTGCCGATGATCTTCTGCAAGTTATTATTTTTACGAGCTTCTTGGATCGTCTGTCGATCGGTTTATCATAAAATAATTATTCGAACATCTCAGAAATAAATTTGGATGCCTTTTTTTGTGGTTATTTTGAATCACTCGATCGTGATCGGCTATTCAAATTAGATTGGAAACAGAGTAATCGAAGTAAACCTAATGGGTTCAGGAAAGTCTTATGAAGCCTAGTAAGCAATAGAGTAATCGTAAAAAATCTAACGCAGAACAGCTTAACGAAAGAAAATTTAGAGGGAGACAGAAAAATAAAATTGATTAAAATGGGAAACCGAAAAGTTAAATGGAATCTATTTGTAAACAAATAAATGTAACCGAAGTAATTATAATGGCAAAAATTAAATTGAACGAAAGCTAATATGGGAAACAGAAAATCGTTCCACACTTGTAATCACATGTAACTCATGTACGGCGATCAATAGCATGTTAAGCTATTTCATCACATGTAACGCATGTAATAAAATTTATTTGTAAGCAAAATTCATATTATAAAACTAGCGGCATATTGGCCGA